AGATATAAGCACTGTCTTAGCTTCCTTACGCAGTAATTATGGAGTTTGGGTTTCCCTGGTGGCTAAGACGGTAAAGAATCCGCCTGCAATGCAGGAGACCGGGTTCCACCCCAGCATCGGGAAGATCTGAAGAAGGGAATGGCTGGTTAGGCACTCTAGTGTTCTTGCTTAGAAGAATTCCATGAACAGCGGAGCCTGGCAGGCTACAGTCCGTGGGGTCACAAAGAGTCGGACATGACTGAGCGACTAACACAAGGAGTTTGAGAGTGTAAACAAAAAGGTTAATTCCAATAGGTCTGTGAGCTATGGGAAATTCTTCTATTCTGTAATTAATTTTAAAAATCCCAGGGAGAAGGCGAGGGTGGGACGTTCAGAGAGAACAGCATTGAAACAAGTATACTATCAAGGGTGAAACAGATCACCAGCCCAGGTTGGATGCATGAGACAAGTGCTCAGGGCTGGTGCACTGGGAAGACCCAGAGGGATGGGATGGAGAGGGAGGCGGGAGGGGGGATCGGGAAAGTTAATGTGACAGGTTTTGTGAGCATTGTAAACTTTCAAGATGAAATTGTTGCAGATACTTGTTTGTAAACTGAGTGAGATTTTGGTCCTTTAAGGGTTTACACCTCTTTTAACTTTTTATTTAGCCAAAATGAAGTTCAATCCCTTTGTGACTTCTGACCGAAGCAAGAATCGAAAAAGGCATTTCAATGCACCTTCCCACATTCGCAGGAAAATTATGTCTTCTCCTCTTTCTAAAGAGCTGAGACAGAAGTACAACGTTCGATCCATGCCCATCCGAAAGGACGATGAAGTTCAGGTATGTGCTGGTGTTCAGGTCATCTTGTTGGACATCCTGCACTTTATTAACAGACGATGGGTTGAAACGTAAACTGCTTTTTTCACCGTTACTCTTCGGTGAAAATCTGTTGTCCCAAGCATCAGATGCAGTCGTGATAAAACAAAAGAAAGATGGTTTGGAACCAGAACATTGGCTTGGGCTTATCTTTTTCTGGGTATGTTTGGTCATTAGAGAGGCATCTGAGAACCAGTAAACAAGTCTATCTAAATCAAAATTCAGATACACAAGTTCCAGGGAACTAGCAGTCTGGGTGTTAAGACTGCACTCCCAATGCAGGGGACACGGGTTAAGTGAGAACTTCCATAAATTCTAGCTGTAACCTGCAGCTAGTGATTAATAAAAGATTTAAAGCAATCTCTTAAGCAGCTTCCATGTCACCAACATTTCATGAGGTAAACAGCCGTTTTTCGCTCCTGAGCTGGTGCTAAAATTGCTGGTAGATTTGAGAGGCCATCTTCTGCTTCCAAGATATTTTAATCTGAGAAAGTCTGTGATTGGGTAGAAGCATCTATTCAGAAACAATGTGGCTGGCTGAGGATCATCGGGGAGAGAATGATATGTTCGTTAACCTTTGGGAGAGAATTGGCCTGTTCCTGAAGTATTAGCTGCTGCTCATGCTCTGGCATTTAGTTGGACCCTTTAGTAGGTTGTGAATTTAAATATTTGTGGCCTTTTCCCTTTGAAGTGATAGTTTCCTTGTCAACTGGTACCAAAAAACAAGGTGGGCTTGTTGCTCATTTTTAACCCTGAAACAAGCCCACCACTGCTGGTGGCCCACCAGTTGTAGAGACGTACTGTCCATCACTGTAGTTTATATGGGGCATAGTTTACTTGCAGGTTAGTTGAAGCCAGAGAGAGAATTACTGGCACATTTCCACTGACCATTAGGTCTTTCAAAATTGGAAGGTCCTGTATATGTATATGATAGAATGAGGTTTACCTGATTCATAGATTTACTGGTTTACAAGTTTAATGTTCCTTTATCCGCATATATGTTACTTCTGAATTTGCATTTAGGTTGTACGAGGGCACTACAAAGGGCAGCAAATTGGCAAAGTGGTCCAGGTTTACAGGAAGAAATACGTCATCTACATTGAACGAGTGCAGCGGGAGAAGGCTAATGGCACAACTGTCCATGTGGGCATTCACCCCAGCAAGGTGGGTGTTTTTGAGAATGCTTGAGATGGGGGAAAGAAATTACAGCAATCGCTGACAAATGTGACTGCTTGTTGACAGAAATAGATTTTAGGTGTTCTGGAAATCAGTCTTAAAGCCAGTACTATTTTTTTTTCTGAAATCAAGGTGTCTAACAGTTATCCTGTATGTATGTATATGTAATGTACCTTTTCCTTAAAAAGTATTGGTAAGCTGATTGATCAGTCTAACAATGAATAGATCTTAAGATCTAGGAAATGGGGTAATGTTTAGATGCTATGGAGGCCATACCCTGTGTGTTAAACAGAATTGAGTAAGCTGTCAGGAAAGTAGGTCTTAAGCCATTTGCAGATCTAGAGCTCAGAGACTAGGTTCATTGATAGAAGATAGTCTAATTCTCCTGTCCTTGACTTCAATGTGGATTCTCCAATACTGCTTTCTCTTGAAAGGTAATAAATGCACTTGGTGCCTGTTCAAATACTGAGGTGTTGGTTTTTTAAGATCTTGAGTTGGCACCATAAATCTAATCTTGAGACCACACAAAAGTCGAAAGACTAATACATCTGTTGCTTTATCTTTCACCTAGAATTCACAGCTACCATTTTCTTTCCCTTCTTCCCTACCCCTCCAGTGGATTACAAACATCATGACAGAGTGCATCTCCTAAGAGCGAGGGCTTTCCCACTCTACTACAATCTTATTTTTGCCCCTAGGACTTGGATCAGCTGCTGTCAAGGTCACCAATACAGTGTTTTCTGAACTTAACGTCGCGTTTGACACCGTTGATCTCCCTCTGACTTACCTTCATCTCTTATTCCAAACACACCTCAATATCCAGTTAACGATTTTGCTTTTCAACTTGGATATCTAATCAGTATCTCAAACCCAACATCTTTAAACTACTGGCTTATTTTATTCTTGAACCCTCTTGCTCGTAGTAGTCTGCTACCAACACTGTGTGTGTGACAGGTCTGTCCTTCTCAACTGCTTAGGCCAGCACATCATCATTGATTGTTGACTGCTGTCACATTATATCCAGAATCCTGTCTGCTTGTTACCATCAGCGTGGCCTACAAGGCTCATCTCCAGGGACTTCCCTGGTGGTCCAGTGGCTAAGACTCTGTGCTTCCAGTGCAGGGGGCATGGGTTTGTTCCCTGGTTTGGGATACTAGATCCCACATGCCACAACTAAGACCTAGCATGACCATATAAAGTTCACTCAACAGCTACTACTTGGTAGTTTCACTCTCCATGTCTGCTGGCCTCTTTGCTGTTCCTGTAACTATGCTACTGTGTGGTGGTTGGCAGCATTCACCTGGCAGCTTCACAGAATTGTATATTCTGTTTCCTAGTCTACTGAAGCAGAATTTGGGGGTGGGAACAAGGGGTCTATTTTAACAAGCCCTTTAGACACACTCAGATCTGAGAAATACCTATTAAACTTGGAAGTTATCCTGCCTCTGGACTTGAATGTTTGCTGTTCTCTTTGAAACACTTCTGCCTTCTCAGGTCTCTGTTCAAGCCCTTTTCTTGGGGCCTGCCTGACATTGATAACAATTTAACCCCTTTCCTCCAGCATTTCATCTCATTAAATATAACCTCCATGGCAGTCGAGATTGTCCTTTGGTCACTATGCTGAATCCCCAGATCTTGTTCACTGCTATCTTCTTCCTTCCTTCCTAACACTAAAGTCTTCATAATCTGGATACCTTTAGTGACAGATCTGTTGGAATTTAATTTCCAGACTTACGGGACTAAAGATACTGTGGAAATAAAAATGTGTATGACTTAGTTAGCTTATAAAACTGGGGTGAGAGGAGTGGAATTGTTGAAGTATATTGCAGTAGAAGCAGCTGATTTTTATCACAGAAGACGTGAGAAGAACCACCAGTGCCACACTGCCTTCTCTTTTGTGGGCTGAACATTAGTGAACATTTAAGTCAGATTTGTTTGGGGGTAAAGAATCATTTCTAGCAATCCATTTTAAGCAATCTATTCCCACAAGTGGGAGACTGAATGTTGGACCTTTCCATGTGTTCTGTATTGGTGATTGTTTAAAGCTTATAAAGTTTTTTTTTCTTACTTGTCTGCAGGTGGTTATCACCAGACTAAAACTGGACAAAGACCGCAAAAAGATCCTCGAACGTAAAGCCAAATCTCGCCAAGTAGGAAAGGAAAAGGGCAAATATAAGGAAGAAACAATTGAGAAGATGCAGGAATAAAGTCATCTTGTCTACAGCTTTCATTAAAAACTGTTAAAATGAAGAGTCTTTATGTGTGGTGCTTTGGGACAAGGCCTGGTTAGTTTTCAAGGAAGTTCTGGTGATGTTAGCTGTCTAAGGGGCAGACCATCCTTATCTGGTGGCTTGATTCCACTAATGAAAAGTACCGTTTGGAAAAAGCTGGATTTTTAACCAGTTTTGAACACCTAATAATACTGGACTAATATAGTAATTTTTTGTTTAATTTTCTTTTTTTAAAAAAAAAAGCAGGAAGAAGCTGTTTAGGGATGCAGCGAAATACACTAGTGCCCCTTTTACCACCTTGTTTTCTGCACTGATGTTGAGTGGTGTCAGGCCAAAAGAAATCTTTAACTTAAAATCTGAGGGAAAAGTACCTAAAAAGCAGCTTCTCCGAGAGGAGGAAGTGATGCAGTGCAGGATTAGTTGTTGGCAACACTTGTGTGGCTGCCCTTCCTCACTTTAGACTTAAGTATATAAACGTGCTAGAGGCGAGCACTTACTTATCTTGGAGCCTTAACAACAACGTAGGGAAAGAGATGACCAGTTTTGCTGCCACCAGAGGCCCGAGTCGGTGTCTACCTTAGCCAAGGTCACACCTCGACAGGCCCCAGATCTCGCCTCAAAACTTCACAGCGTCTCAGCAGAGAATATGGCCCGCGCCGTATCTTTGAGCGCTCCCTCGGGAGGGGCGGGGCTTCCGGTCGGCGCGGGGCCGTTTCCGGCGCGTCGATCCGCCGGAGCCGCTAACGCTCGTGGGCAGGACGGCGCCAGTGGAGCGAGCTGGGGCTGAGGCGCCTCGCGACCCTGTGCTCCTGGTTCATCTCTTTCTTCTTCCGGGCCTCCCTCTCGCAAAAATCCCTAGCTCGGTCTCCTCCCCCGGCTGGCTCTTTCATTGAGTCGGGGAGTAGGCGGGTCCCAATTGCCCGCCGGCAACGGGGGGAGGTGTTGCGGAGACCTTGGGACTCAGGACCGCACAAAGGACCTGATGCCCGAGCCAGGTCTTCAGGAATAAGCGGGAGGTTGTTTTATTTAAGGTGCAGGGCACTGTGCTAAGTGCTTTACCCACATTATCACAACTGTAGTGATGTAGACTAGCAGTCTACCCATTCTATTGTGGAAGCTGAAGCCTCAGTAACTTTGCTTCACTTATTCAATAAGTGATGAGTCAGAAATCGACTTCCCAAGCCTAGACTCAACCATACCTCTGCACTGTCTCTCTGCTATACTGTAAGCCAACTGTTTGACATATTCTTTGAACATCTTTTGTTCAGCTGTGTATTCGTGGGCCCTCTGAGGGGATACAGCGAGATAGAAGCCCAGCCTCTGTCTTTTAGGTTGTGTACACCTGAACCAGTTGACTAAAAAGGCAAAGCGCTCCAGTGAGTGGTGCTGGCTGTTCAGAGGAGGGACAGACAGATGGCAATCAGAGTGCGTCAAGAAGAATGCTGACCTGAGCTGGGTGTGATTTGGAAGATCAATGGAAGAACATTCCAGGTCGGGGGCAGCCAAAGCAAAGACTCACAGGTGAGTGAGGAAGGAGGATCTCTCCAGTTTTCTGTAAACAAGCTCATTTGTCAGTTACCCCACCAGAACAGATCACACCAGGAGGCTGGCCGCCTTTCTTTGAGGCCTCATTTTTTTCATTCTGCTTTAGAACAGGTGTTGAAAACTCAGTTAACTACAGGGGTGGGCCGTTAAGGTGACAAAGTTAGTAGCTGGCTTAGAGACTGGGAAGCCAAAGAGTGTGAACTGTTCAAAAGGAGCTACTGCCTCTCCACTCGAGACAGGTGTTGCCAAGCCAAACAGCTCCCGGTGTGACCGGATCGTCCCATTTTTCAAGAAAGCTAGAAATCTAGATTTTTAAATGAACTCCCCAGTCAGTAAATATAGGTAACTCATCCAATTAAAAAAAAAAACACTGGGTAGGCTAACCGAAATATGTCTATTAGCCAAATGTGACTCTCTGGCTATAGAATTTCATGGGATTGGGTAAGGACCATTTCACATGTTGAAGACTGAGATTTTTCCATCTGAATTATTTCCAGCCTGTCTTCATTCCGTTACAGGATGGAGACGAGACTCTTCCTGTGTAGTTCGCTGAAGGCCTCAAATAGCAGCCAGAGCCCCCAGTTTCTGAGAGATGCTGGTTTCAGTGAGGAGTCTAGGAGCTCTTCCTGGTTTGCATTGACCATCTTGTGGTTTCAAGTGTCTTCTAAGGACATAGGATGATAATACATAATCCTTAGGAAACAAAGCCCCATGTCAGTGATTATATGGGACTAGTGGATGAAACCTTTTTTTTTTTAACTGAAGGACTTTTCAGAACCATTAAAATGTCCGTTTGCATTAAGAATGTGGAGCTCAGGTTTAAAGAGTATTTTACAAACATTCTGTTTCTTTGATTCTAAAAGCATATTTTTCACATTTTAAAAATCTGGATGTGTTCGTTTAATGTAGGGTCTCTGTTTTCCCTGTGAAAAGAAAATTGTCATTAAATCAGCAGTTTCAATGTCAGAAGTGTCTTTAGAATCAGGAATGTCATGTAGTTAACCAATGATGCCAAGCAAGGAAATCCGAAATCTTTTTAGTGGAGGACATTCAGGACTGGGAATCAAGCTTTGCTTAACTGAGACTCTTGCTCAGAGCTTTTAAATGTTTCCATCTTTCTCTGCTTCTTAGGATTCTGCCCTGGCCCTCAGGTTTTCATCTGATGGCTGGCATCTTGGGGATCTTGTTTTCGTAAGATTGTTGGAATTCCTGTGATCATCATATGAAGGCTTCCCCTGGCCTCATCACATCCTATATCCTGGAGTTGCCTCGTTTTAGACACCCGAGTATCAAGTTCTCTTCCGGAGGAGTTCTCCAATCTTAGTGGCGTGTGGACCCCATTTGGGGTAACTCTTTGGCATGATAATCTGACACAGCTGTCTATCCCCAGATGTAATTTGTCCATTTTTTAAAACGGGCCCTGCTGCCTCTTTTCAGAACCATTAAACCTGTACCTGGAAGTGTCTCCTAACCTTGGAGTGCTCAAGTTCAGTTGGACACTCTGTTTCATTTTGGAAAAAAAAATATGTGGGCTCCAGCTCAGGCAGTATCAAGACAGGCCAGGCCTGCAGACCTTCCAAGAGGACAAAACCCCTCTTCCTCACTGTAAAGCTGGATTCGTCTTACGGGATGTGAGACCTTTCCTCTACCCTGTTATCTTTTCTTCTGTGTGATAATCACATGCTCACATTCAGTCATGCATGTGGGTATGCCTTTTTTCCCAGAACCTCCATGGTCTCTTCCACAGTTCTGCTGCAGCTGCTCCTCAGCCCAGGCCCCAAGGCACAGCAATCCCTGTGGAAGTAGCTGATGTCATCTGGGGAGGCAGCAACATTTGAGGATCTGACCAAAGACTGGAAGTATTAGGAAGCCCCTCAGAAGGATTGCAGCAGAGGCATAATGCTGAACAGTTATGAGAACGTGGACCCTCAGGGTAAGGACTCAGTCTTCATTTACTAACCCTGTGTACACCTGACAGGGAAAAGTCATCATTTAAAAAATCCCAGGACTTCCCTGGAGGTCCAGTGGTTAGGACTTTGTGCTTCTACTGCAGGGGTCCAGTTTCCATCCTATTTGCTACAATTAAAGATCCTGTATGCAGCAACTAAGACCGGGTGCAGCCAAAATAAACAAATACTTTGAATTTTTTTTAATAAAATTCTGTTGACATGCTCTTGTTTTGAATGGCCCTAGTGGGCTTTCTGGGTATTTTTATTCTGTTCCTGCTTTATACCAGCATGCTAGTATCTGTCTTCCATATCTTCAAAAACCAGATGAAAGAATTATGGGGAACCTTGGCGGGAAAGTGTTCCAGGTGGCATATCATGAAATTCAACTTTGTTTGCTTCTTTCTCCATCTCTTTAGGAGACTTCTTAGAATTCTCCATGACACCACAGAGAGCTGGAAATGATCCCCCTGGTGTTTCAAGTCCAAGTGAAACAGAAACAGAGATAAGTACCATGAGAGAAAAGTTTCTCACCAGTGTGACCAAGTTGGTAGAAAGCAAAAGTTACAACAGCAAGGTATTTTCCAAAGAAAAGTACTTTCAAACAATCAAGGAAGTCAAAGAAGCTAAAGAGAAGGGGAAGAAGTCATCACGTGATTATCGCCGTGCAGCAAAATATGATGTGATTTCTGTAGAAGGCACAGAGAAACTCATAGAGGCTGCTCACAGAGAACGAGATCGAATACGGTATTATGTACACAAGGAAGAGCTGTTTGACATCCTTCATGACACACATCTCAATATTGGCCATGGCGGACGGACACGCATGCTCAAGGAGCTGCAAGGCAAATATGGGAATGTCACCAAAGAAGTCATTGTGTTATATCTGACTCTGTGTAAACAGTGCCACCAGAAGAACCCAGTACCCAAGAGAGGCCTTGCACCCAAGCCCATGGCATGTAAGGACAATGACTCCAGATGCCAAGTTGAAATCCTTGATATGCAGTCAAATGCTGATGGGGAATTCAAGTTCATTTTGTATTACCAGGACCACTTAACCAAGTTTATTATTTTACGGCCATTAAAAGCCAAGCAGGCCCATGAGGTAGTCAGTGTCCTGTTGGATATTTTCACAATTCTTGGTCCACCCAGCGTGTTAGAATCTGACAGCGGCATAGAGTTCACAAACCAGGTTGTTAATGAGCTCAATGAGGTATGGCCAGATCTAAAGATTGTCCTTGGTAAATCCCACCCTGGCCAAGGCCAGGGCTTCCTGGAGCGAGCAAGCCGTGATGTCAAGACCATGCTGAGTGCCTGGATGCGGAGTAACCACTCCTGTCATTGGACCGAAGGCCTGCGATTTATGCAGATGCTGAGGAATCAGGCCTTTGATGGTTCCTTGCAGCAGAGTCCGTATGAGGCAATGTTTGGTTGTAAAGCCAAATTTGGACTCTATTCCTCACATTTGCCCCGAGAAACCGTGGCTGTTTTACACACAGAGGAGGAGCTAGAAATTGCTGAAGAACAACTGGAAAGCAGCCTCTGGGTCAGGCAGGAAGAGAGGGCTGAGGTTGGAGCAGACCGGTCTGACATGGACGAGGACGTCGATCCCACACCTCTCGAAGCCTCGGAGCCCAGCACCTCCCAGGTGGCCTCAGGTCTCTTCTCCTGGTGAACAGACATCTGCTGGGTGGCTGCTTGTGCCTCTGGGTGCCGTAGAGCCACCTGAGAGCTGTAGCCAAGACCCCCCATGAAAGGAGTGAAGGCCACTCTCTCAGGAACGCTGTTCTTGGTAGTCCTGGGTCAGAGGGGACGGTGGCTCCAGTCTCTGATCTCACCTGCCCTGTTAATTCCCACAAACCTGGAGGCTTAAAACAGAACTTTGGGGACTTCCCTGGCAGTCCATGGTTGAGACTGTGAGCTCTCAATGCAGGGGGAGCCGGTTTGATCCTTGGTTGGGGAACTAGGATCCTGCATGCTCAGGACACAGCCAAAATTAAAAAAAAAAAAAAACTTTCTTCTTAGTCCTAGAGGCCAGAGGTCTGAAATCAGGGTGTTGGCAGGGTTCATTCCTTCTGGAGGCGCCAAGAGAGAATCCATTCCAGGCCTTCCTCCTTTCTCTAGTGGCTGTCAGCAGTTCTTGGCACCCCTGGGCTCAGAGTAGCACAGATCCAGCCTCGGCCTTGTCTTCATGTGGCCTTCTCTCCTTGGTCTGTGTGTGTGCTTCTTTTCTGTCTCTTACAAGGACCCCGTTGGACACCAAATCTATGTAGTTGGATTTAAGGCCCAGCCTAATTAATGATTTCATCTCAAGATACTTACCTTAATTTCATCTGCAAAGACCCTGTTTCTAAATAAGTTCACATTCATGGTTGCTCAGGGTTTGGACTTGGACATATCTTTGGTGGTGGGGGACTGCAGTTATACTGCAATTGGCTCAGGGGTAATGAACCTGCTTGCCAATGCAGGAGATTCAGATTTGATCCCTGGGTCAGGAAGATCCCCTGGAGGTGGAAATGGCAACTTGCTCCAGTATTCTTGCCTGGGAAATCCCATGGACAGAGGAGCATGGCAGACTGCAGTCCGTAGTGTTGCAAAAGTCTGACACAGCTTAGCGACTGAGCATGCACACAGTTCTACCGACTACAGTCAGTGGAAGAGGATGTTTGCTTGCAGAACATAAACTGATGGGGTCTGAGCCCTGTAGAGCTGGTGGGACTGCCCTGCATGTATCGAATATCTGTTCCTGCTCCTCAGGCACAGAACCCAAAAGCTGGGGGCATCAGAGAAAAAGATATAGGTGAAGGACAAATAATGAGAAGAACAGAGGTTGATCTCACGTGCCCCAGAGACACTGCCCCACTAGCTGAGCTTTGTTTCCTGCTTCAACAGAAACCTGATGTACCCACCCTGCTCTCAGAATGGCAGCCACTGGGATCAATCTGCCTGAAATATATTTTAAAAATAGGTCAAAATTAAGGCATGGCTAGGGTTTGGGTCTGAGCCTGCCAGTGTGCTGTGCCTCAAGCACAGCATGACGTGGTGTAGTCCTGGAACGGTCATACATTCCAGGAAGTGACCAATAGCCAGGAAACAACTAGGGACTCTGGAGCAAATTGCAAAAGTTGGCCTGAGGTCACTGCTTCAGCCAGAGAATAGAGCAAAGGCCAGTCTGGGTCACAGTTCAGAGGAAAGGGGAGGGTAATGCCCAGGATCTGTGCATGGCTGTATTCTCAAAGGCCTGGAAGAGGACTCAGCCCATCAGAGGTGTTGAGTTAGGGTTTGCTGAGTGAATAAAGGATTCTACAGGCATGGACGCAAGGAAGGAGAAGGGGCCTGCAGTTTCTGACTCTCCAGTTCTTTCTTCCTGCATATCCCAGAACCATCTCAAACCATTCTGGGGGACTTCCCTGGTGGTCCAGTGGTTAAGACTCTGCTCTTCCAGTACAAGGGGCACAGGTTCGATCTCTGGTTGTGGGAGTAAAATCCCACATGTGCCTTGGCTCCACCAAAAAAAAAAATTCTGATTGCCCCCCACTTTGGCTTCGCCTTGGGCCAAGAGCAGTCTCCTGATGATGCCTGCCTCACAGGGTGGTTGTGAAAGACAGTGAGATAATGCTTGCGAACTTCTAAGATGTGAGTTGTCTTTGCTACCTTCAGATCTTACCCTCATCATGAGAGTTGGAGATCACTGTTGCCATTCCTTTGCTAATTAAACAGTGTTAAGCTAGACATCCAGGAAATCTGCACTATTATTAGACAGGAGGTGATGTCACTCTTCCAGCTTGTCTTGGAGGACCAGAATCTCGGCTTCATCCTTGGCCAGCACCTCACATCCCCTTCCTGTATCACTAAGCTGAGCAGGGCCTGGGAGGCCCAACTTGACTGATGTTGCCCCCTGTCCCCCCCATGCTGACCTACCACCTCCTGATGGTGGAGCAAGTCAGGAACCACACCATCAGCTCCTGTGGGTAAGAGGTCAAAGGAGGCACTATGCTACTGTCTTTCCCAGGGGGTGGCTGCAAATAACGGAGATTTCCGGAGCTGCTACCTCAGCCTTCCTCTTCTGCTCCCTAGTGTTTATAGTGGAGGGACCTGGAGGAGGACACCTAGACCCAGCCCAGCCTTCCTCTGTGTTATCACATTTCAGCATCTGGAGCAGAATCAGGCTTTCAGTTTGCAAGTATGTTTTGTCCATATAATGTCTTTTAAATTTAAAAGTTAATTACCATCACTTTCAAAGCAGATTTCACATAAGAATATGGATGTCTAGCACTTCTTGAAAATTTAGAAGATCCTACCTCCCACATTTTTTGCATGGCAGCCAACGACCAAGTAGTAACCCCCAGGAGACAGTCCAGTCCTGCATTCTACATTAGTCCGCCATCTAGGCTGTTCAGATTGTTTGCATACACGTTTCTATGGTTGACTGCTAAAGAAAGGCAAATGAAGTCAATGTGAATAAAGGCCAGAAACAGACCCTTGTATCTAGGAATTTATGATAAAAGACATTTCAGATCTGTAGGAGGGATTGTATTATTCAGTTAATGGTGCTGATCAATTATACTTCAATTAAAAAAAAGATAGTGGTGCTGGATCATAGAGCTGTCCAACTGGAATAAAATAAAGTCTGATCCTTAAACATAAAAAACAAAACTGTAAAAATATTGGGGAAAAGAAATAGATTTTTGTGATCTTGAAATGGAGAAACCCATATAAGAAAAGGTTAATATACTTGGTTACATAAAAATTTTAAATATTTATGAAAAATAATGCCTTTTAAAAATGGAGAAAAAGTAAATGACAGGCTGGGAGAAAACATTTGCAACACCTAAAACAGACATAAGGTACTGTCAACTGAAAAAAAATAAAATGACCTAAAAGTTGAGAATTACGTTTTTATTGAGCAGACTTACTGAGGACTTAAGCCCCAGGCTACAGTCTCCCTTAAAACTCTGAGGGACTGTTCCAAAGAGGTGAAGGAGGAGCCAGGATATGAAGGAGTTTTTGCAAAAAAGAAACCACAAATAAGTAAAAGGTAGTTGAACATCAAAAGATTAGTGTCAATTAGAGAAAAAAACCTCTCTCAAATTAATGGACTTAGCACTTTTCTATGTATAGGAAGATGTAAGAGTCTGGGCTTATTGAAATTATTCTCTTGATATGCATCTTAACTAGGAACCGGTATCCTGTTTTTCTCCATCCTAAATCTCAGGGTGTACAGTCGTGGGCGGCTGCAGTGGCTGATGACGTGATGGCCACGGCATCCTTTGTTTACTGATATGTCAGGGGACATTCTTTGTCCACAGTACCTAATTTTTAAAGGGGTGCTTGCAAGTTAACAATGAGAAGAGCAACCAGTAGGAAAGGAGCAGATGTTAATGGTGGACGGAAAACAAACAGCTGTACCCTGGAGCAACTGTGGTGGGATGGAAGCAAGTCAGACTTGTCATCCAATCAGGGCTGTCCATTCAAATAAAACAGATTCAAGTTGTGTGAGCGTTTTGTTTCTCCTGCCATGCGTGTGGGAGAAGAGGCAAATGCCTAGTGATGCTGTCTTGTTTTAACAGAAACCTGACTGATAATGAAGTCCAGTAGTGGTCGTGTTCTGTATGGAACAGCAGTATTCATTTCCAGGGGCTGTCATAACCCACTGGGTGGCACAGAAATTTGTTATGTCACAGTTCTGGGGTCACATGTCTGAGATCAAGATGTCATCAGGGTTGATTCCCTCTGACGGCTTGGGGGAGAATCTCTTCTGGTGGCCTCAGATGGTCCTTGGCTTGTAGGTGACAGTCCCTCTATGTCTTCTCATTGTCTTCCCTCTGTGTGTGTCTGTCTCTGGGTCCAAATGTCCCCTTAGCATAGTAGATTAGGGCCCATCCTCAATGACCTCACTTTAACTTGATCATCTGCAGAGACCCTATTTCCAAATAAGGTCACATTCACAGGTATGGGGTGGAGGGATTAGGACTTCAGCTTCTTTGGGGTGACACAGTAAGTTCAGCCCATATAGCAGCAGCTAAGAGATGCAGGTTTGATCCCTGGATGGGAAAGATTCCCTGGAGAAGGGAATGGCTACCCACTCCAGTATTCTTGCCTAGGAAATCCCATGAACAGAAGAGCCTGGCAGGTACCGTCCACAGGGTCAAAAAGAGTCAGACCTGACTGAGCCACTAAACAACAATCAGAATGACAGATTTTGTTTGTTTGTTTTTGTTTTCTTGGGTTTTTTTGGTCACACGATGTATAGGATCTTAGGTTTTTTTCCGACCAGGGATCGAACCTATGCCCCCTGTAGTGGGAGCACAGATTCTCAACCACTGGACCACCAGGGAAGCCCCAGAATGACAGTTTTTTAGGAGGTAGTTTTTAAGGATGTATGGAAACAATGTCCAAAGCCTTAGAACGCTGCTCCCCCAACCCCATTCAAATAACACAGGCAGTTTTACTTGAACAGAAAACTGAAGAAATGAGTACCAGTTACATTCTTACAAATCTTCAATATCAATTCTTGAGAAGATCTTAATTTAATACCTTGTCCAGCTAGATTATTTGGGTTAGTTTTTTTTGTTTGTTTTTTGACGGAATCCTAACCCCTGGACTGCCAGGGAAGTCCCCTTGGCTTCCTCTTATAATACAGAACAGTGTCTCTCCCTCTACACACACAGGAGGAAGGGAATGTTGCCATATCTTCCTGCGGCTCCTTTTGTTCNCCTGTTTTGTGGCCAAATAAATAAGTAAATAAAATGGGTGTGTTGCATTGACAACTTAAATCCCATGAGAGTGTTCCCATCAGTGACAGGATTTTCAGAAATGGTGAGAGTTCTTGGTAATGCTCTCACAAAAGACAATGCAATGTTCTTTCCATTGATGTGGTTACCCAAATAAGATTCACTGCATATCGAAAGTGTGTAAAAAATAATTTGCATTGCATATAATGTGGAATTCAGGTCTATGACTTGATCACTATCCACAAATTTTTCACCTATGTGAATGATCAACAAGATATTAAAAAATAATGCGGGCTGAGGCCAATTCTTCATTGCAAGGGAAACCTCACTCTTTGCAGGGTGGCTAGCAATGCAAACATCTACCTACTAAGTGCCAGGTATGTCCTCAGTCATTGTGACTACAAAGTCCCGCAAAGATATGAAGAAATTGGAACCGTTGTGCATTGCTGGTGAGAAAGCATCACAGCAGTTCCTTAGAAAACAAAATAGAACATAGAATTACCATATGAACCAGCCATTGTACTTCTGAATACACATCCAGAATAACTGAAAGTAGAGTCTCTTTCCTTTGGAGAAGGAAATGGCAACCCACCCACTCCAGTGTTCTTGCCTGGAGAATCCCAGGGACAGAGGAGCCTGGTGGGCTGCCGTCTATGGGGTTGCACAGAGTCGGACTCGACTGAAGTGACTTAGCAGCAGCTGCAGCAGCAGCCTTATATTGTGGAATAGAATTTGATTTTTTTTTTTCAGCTCTAGCGGAAGAAGAAACATTTTCTTTTGTTATTTCTGAGACGCTATTCCCAGTAGTTTTTTGAGGCTACACATTGGAATGTCATTAGTTGGCACTGAGACCAGAAGGGGGAGGTGTCTGAGAAGCTCAGCTTTAAACTCTTGCTTCCAATTTATTCTGCAGGCTTTCTGGACATGTGTGCCACTGACAATTAAAGCATGGTTCACCAAGGTGAGCTTCAACACTAAGGTAACTTCAACCAGTTACCTCTCCACAGTTATTTTAGCCTTTTCAGATTTGGTGGCTTTGGGTTGTGGAATATTGAGGAGAAAGGTTTTAGGGGGAGAGGAGCTGTTTTTGAATGTGTGATTTACACATCTTTCCTTTGTAGAATTTTTTTTTTCCTTTGTAGAATTTTTATAGAAATTGATTTGAAACCTGAGCTACCTTGAAATGTAAAAATAAGAACCCTCTGTTGTTCAAAAGTTAGCCAACGCAGAATAGGTTTGTCCCCAGAATCTTCTTCTGAATTTTGTTCAGAAGTCTGTTCCTTTGAATTAGTGAAATTGGTTTCTGTTTTCGGTTCCTAGTTCCACTTGATTGCTGTTATCTTGGCACTACTCTTTGTTTACCCAAGTTCTGACATTTTTACCCCAGAATTAATTACCCCAGATGGTCTGCTCTGCTGTGTTTTCCAAGCAAACAAAGTGAGCAGGAAATATGAACTTCCTGAGCCAGCTGGCTTTCCGCTTTAATATGAGGTTTTGCCTTTTACAAGCGTGTTTATCTTATGTCTAATTTTCTTATTTATAATTAGCTATATATATAATATGTTTTATTTATACACACACACACACACACACACACACACACACACACACACACATGTGCAAGTATATAGGTTAGATCTAATTCTATTTTCTCTTTTTTTCCTTTTGAAATTGGGCCCTGATATTCTGCCTTTTGCTTCCCCAAGGCTCCTTTGTAGAATCTTCCTGTTCTATTCAATTTGAACTTCTGCATCCTTTCTGTCAAGGAGCTCCTTGCTCAGAATAACTTCTCCACACCTGGAACTTTGGTCTAGGATTTCTTTTCACTTTTAGACACTTCCCTCGTCATGACTAGCAGATGAGGTCTTATCAGCTTTCCTCCTTGGGTTTTGCACAGCCAGGTCATCCAGTGACCAGATGTTTGCCTCTCTCCCCTCCCCCCATGCCCTCTCAGCACTGAATATACAGTTCTTTGGAGGATGTCATACCCTCTCTAGGCCTTTCTCCTGGTGCAGTGACAGGAATCCTGGAAATGGCTGCCTTGAATGCAGGGGCCACTAAGATCTTGCCTCAACACTTTACCCAGATCACCAGTAATAACCCACCAGCCTCCCAGCCCTGAAACACTGCCTCTGCCGTGAGTGGAGTGGAGGGAGCCAGTCCTGATGCCTGGAAGCAGCCACCCTTCCTCCTCTCGACACGCAGATACTCCCTGTATCAGGAAGAGAGCCTCCTGGAAACTGATCAGTCTTGGCTTTCCCTCTTTCTTCTCTTCTCACCCACCCACTTCTCTAGTCTATCACTTTCATTCATTCATCGTACACTTATAAACACCAACTATGTGCCTGCAGTGTGCTAGATTACCATCAAGTCAGCAGTCATGGTAGAGAGTGCTAAATGCTGAAATAGGGCACAAAGCAAAGGCTTGTTTTTTGCTTTTTTTTTTTTAAATATTATTGTTGTTCAATTGCTAAGTCATATCTGACTCTTTGCAACCCCATGGAATGTAGCACACCAGGCTTCCCTGTCCTTCACTATTTTCCTGAGTTTGCTCAAACTCACGTCCATTGTTGGTGATGCTGTCTAACCATCTCATCCTCTACTGCCCCCTTCCCCTTTTACCTTCAATCTTTCCCACCATCCAGGTCTTTTCCAATAATTTGTTTATTTACTTTTGGCTGTGCTGGGTCTTCATGGCTGTACAGGCTTTCCTCTGTTTGTAGCGAGAGAAGGCCACTCTTTAGTTGCAGTATGCAGGCTTCTCATTGCTGTGTCTTCTCTTGTTGCTGAGCACGGGCATCCTGGATCAGGGATCAAACCCGTGTCTCCTTTGTTGGCAGGCAGATTCTTTAGCGCTGAGCCATCAGGGAAGCCAGTTAATTTTATATTTTGATCGTACCAGGTGGCATGCAGGATCTTAGCTCCCCGACCAGAAAGCAAACCTGCCTCCCTGCAGTGGAAGTGTGGAGTCTTAACCATTGGACCACCATCAAAGTCCCAGTAAAGACTTACAGATCTGTAAAAGGAAGGTCGGTGAGGGAGCCACACAAAAGTCACTTCAGCTGAATTTTGACAGACTGTTTGCAGTTCAGCAGTGAAGTCTCCATTCTGCCTCAATTGCATCAGAGGACTTCTAGCAGGGGAAGTAGACTTGGTCAGATCCTCAGTAGAAAACCCTGGCAGACACCACCTTAAGGTTGTGATCAAATAAACATCCCATTGTGGGTACTGGTACTGGTGCCTCTTGGTATGATGCACTGAGAACACAGCAACATTTCTGTGACATTTCTACCAAAAATGTGTCACCTGAATGTAACTGTAAAGACACATGGGACTAACCCAAATGGAGGGGTATCCTACAAAATAGCTGGTTAATGTGAGGAAGGCATTGAAAGTTGCAGTTAAAGTGAGTGAAAGATACGTGGCAAATGAATATGATGCATGATCCAGTATTTCCTTTTATAGTGGACATCACAGGGACAGTTGGCAAAATCTGAATATTATTTGAAGCTTATATTATGATATCAGTGTGAATTTTCTGATCTTGAGACTTGCACTGTGGTTATGGAAAACAAGGTGTGGTTATGCACCTTGTTTTTAAGAACTAGACATTGAAGTATTCAGAGGTAAAGGGGCATCATGTCTGCAACTTAATTTCAAACAGTAGAGAAAAAAAAAGGGTGCAGAGGGGGAGAGAGGGAAGGAGAGAGAGAGGGAGGGAGGGAAGAAAGAAGAGATACAAAGCAAATGTAGTAATATTAACATTTGGGGAAACCTGGGTGAAGAATATAAAGGAATTCTTTGCACTGTCCTTGCAACTTTTGTACTGTTCTTGCAACTTTTCTGTAAATTTGAAATTATGTCTCCCCCACCCACCAATTTTTTAATTGTCAGAGTCCTACTAAGAGGGCAGACAACTTTGCCCTTCCTGTGACCAGTCCTTAGGCCTGGGGACCTATGAACATGAGGATACAGGGCAGTAACTCTTGGGCTTGCAGAAGCAGGATTCCATGCAAACAGTCTTTTTTTTCATTTGACTTGTGTGTGGAATCTTAGTTCCCTGACCAGGGATTGAACCCATGACCCTGACAGTGAAAGCACCAGATCCTAACCACTGGACTGCCAGGGAATTCCCTCAATTCACCCACTGATGGACATTTAGGTTGCTTCCAATTTTTGGCAATTATAAATAAAGTTGCTATAATTAAATGCAAGTTTGTGTATGGGCATTAGTTTTCAGTTCATTTGGGTAAATACCTAGGCATGTAACTACAAGATCATATGGTAACTACGTTTAGTTTGTTAAGAAATTTTCAAGCTGTCTTCCGAAGTGGTTGTACCATTCTGCTTTCCCACCAACAATGAAGGAGAGTTCCTGTTACTCCACAACACTGCCAACATTTGATACTGTGGAAATTACCATGTGACCCAGAAATTCCACTATTTACATTCCCTAGAAAACTGAAAACATTATGTATGAAAACTTACATATTCATGTTTATAGCAAAATTATGCATGAGAGCCCAAAGTCCCAAATGTCCATCAGCTTACAAATGGATAAATAAAATATAGCATATCCACACAGTGGAATATTATTCATCCATAAACCAGAATGAAGTAGTGACATACTTTATAATACGAACAAACCTTGAAAGCGTTATGCTAAATAAAAGAAGCCAGACTCAGAAGGTCACATATTGTATGATTTCATTTAACTGAATTGCCCAGAATAGGCAATCCATAGAAAGTAGATTAGTAGTTGCCAGGGACTGGGTGGGGAATGCAGAGTGATTTGAGTGGTAAAAATGTTCTGGAATTGAATAGTTGTGATGGTTGCACAACATAAATATACTAAAACTACCAACTTGTACACTTTTAAATGGTAAATTTTATGGTATATGGATTTTATCTTTAAAAAAATAATAAAAAGAACCATGGAGACTCACTCCTGGGCAGAGATAGGCTGAGTCCTAATCAAGGAGATTTCAACATTTTCAGCTGGATTTCAGAACTGCTATGAACCAATGACTCCTGTGTGCCTCTCATATCCCTCCTTTTTATTTTTAAATTTTCACTTTATTTATTCTTTTCAGCTGCGCATTGCAGAATGTGGGATCTTAGTTCCCCTACCAGGGATCGAACCCTTGTCCCTTGCAGTGGGAGCAAGGAAGGAGTCTTAGCCAATGGACCACCAAGCAAGTCCCTTGTGTCCCTCCTTTTTAAACGGTAATGTGTACCATGGTTATCCTTTGACTGTCCCACCCTTGTATCCTGGGTGTGCAGGGGATGATCACTTGTCTCTTTAGCTCACAGGTGTTCAGGGGATGTACTTAGGGAATTACATCCAAAGAGCCTCATCTATACTTGGACTTGATTTAGATGGCGTGTTGGTTTCTAGGACTGCCATAACAAAGGACCAAATACTGGGTGGTTTAAACAACAGAGATTTATTTTCTCACACTTCTGGAGACTAGAGCCAAGATCAAGGTGTACTTAGGTTTGGTTTCTTCTGAGATCTTCCTACTTGGTTTGCTGGTGGTCACCTTCTCTGTGTCTTCATGTGGTCTTTCTTCTATGTATGCACAACCCCGATGTCTCTATTCCTAGTCTCATAGGATACCAGTCAGTTCGTGTAGGGCCCATCCTATAACCTCATTTTAATTTAATCACCTCTTTAAAGACCCTGTCTCCAAGCGTAGTCACTTTCTGAGGTACTGAGAATTAAGGCTTTAATACATGAACTTGGGGGGAAACAAAACTCAGTCCATAACAGCAGGCAAATGTATTGCAAAATTCTGAACATTCATATTTTCCTGATGCCTCACCAGGTGACCAGGTAACCAGGTGTACCAGTGGGGTCTGGTTGGTTTAGTTCCTGCCACAAGTTCCTCTTCTGGGCCTCCCCTCTCTGTGACCTAGTGACACTCAAATGCACCAGTAAATCCCCTCACGCCTTTTGCTTGTGGACTCTACCCTGACCACAATAATGACATTTGCCCCCAGGTCCTCACACTCTCTCTCTCAGCTGTCCATCTGCTCGCTTGAGCCTGTTCCGAAGGTGTTCTTCCCATGTGTCATGCCATGTCCCCCTCTTCTAGGACCTCTAATTTCTTTTTTTTTAATATTTGGTCTTTGTTTTTTTTTTTTTTTTTGTTGCANGGCACTGGAGCTTCCTCCTTGTTGCTGTCTTCAATGGCTCTCTGTGGGGGTAACTAGCCCTGAAGTAGCGAATGAAGAAGCCCTTGTGGGGAGAAACTGAGGCTTCCTGCCAGCAGCCCTACCAGTGAACCATATTAGAAGTGGATCCTCCAGCCCCAGTCAAGCCTTCAGATGACATCAGCAGACTTCAGATGACTCATCTGACATCCTGACTGTCACTTCATGAGAGAATCTGAGCAAGAATAATTCAGCTAAGTTGCTCCCAGGTTCCTGACCCCAGAAACCTGCATGATAATAAATATTTATTAAGTGGCTAAATTTGGGGGAATTTGTTACCCATCAATAAATAATATACCAGGTCTTTATCAAAAGAAGAAAATTATATATAGACTGGAATAGTGGCCCCCTTATTTATTTAGGTTACCTGCCTAGCCTCTGTAGGCACTTGAGTGTATGACTCCTACAGAATTACAGAATCACTTTCTCTAATTAGATTTTATCTATTTCTAAGGCAGTGGTCATGACACACCTATGTTTTGTGTCCCTTCCCCAGGATGACTGATTCAATAAATCCTCCCGCAAACCCTTTCTAGCTACCCGTGGGAGGAGCATAAGGAGGACACTGAGTAGGGGTTTGTGGAATGTCTGTTCTGCCTAATTGTCAAGACGCTGCATTAGGTTCTTTGTTCAGAATATTTGCTTGAAGCTAGGTTAGAAATTCCACAGCTGCTAGTCAGGTAGGGTAAAGATAGGAACCTTTTTTAAAAAGCTCAAATAAAATAGATATCAGGCATATATATTAGGTTGAAATCATATGAAATTAGAAGTTAATTTTAACTGCTGAAACAGCGATGTCATATGGTTCAATAATAACACATATTTTTTTAACATATCCAATCCACTCACAATTTGTCCCTGTACTCCTCCAGCTTGCTGGCATCAGGGCTCTAGCTGGAGGGATATAACATGATACGGATCAGTCATACAAGGCCAGCAAAGTGCAAGATACCCAAATCCCAATAGTCTCGGCCAGCACTGCCTAAACCAGAGGCCACGTGTCTTTGTGAGCCTGGGTTTATAGCACACATGTGTAACTTGTCTTTTGACCACAGGGCCTGATCCTACTGTTTTCCTTTCTTGCTCTCTGTCAGTCCTGTTGTTATAGAGTGGTGGGCATGGGAGATGGAGTAGAAAGCTATAACAGCCAGAGAGTCAGGGAGGTGAAGTTAGGGGTGGTGGTGGAGGAGTTGCAGGTGGTGGAGGTGGAGGTGGTGGTCGAGGAGCTGATGAAGGTGGCGGCGGTGGTGGAGATGGAGGTGGTGGTGGTACAGTTTGAGTTGATGCTGGTGGTACCCAGACACAGGGCTTTTTGAGTTCTCAGTCATCTGAGCTGGACACTGCAGGTGGGATTGCTGCTGGGGGCACAACCATACCCTCTACTGTGCTCTCCTTGTTTAACCTGCTTCTTTGCCCTTGGGTCATTTTGCTTTTGAACCCCTCACTGTGAGTAAACCATCAAGTTCAATAGTGGTATCTCTCTCCTGATGACTCTCCAGCTACTAAGAACAAATGTTAGGGCAGAGGTAACAAAATTGAAAGAAGTTTAGCTCCCAGAGAGGTGTTTGCCTGTATACAAGTGTGCTTGTTGAGGGGAGAGATGGGCAGGCTTGAGGACCACAGTGTGCTGAAAGGCCCCTTGGCAGAAAGAACTGGGAAACACACTTGTTCATTCTCCCTTACTCTCCTTATTCAAGCTCTTGTCTTGTCTCAACAACTGCTGGACATGACAAATAAGAGACAATTTATTCTACATCATCTAAGCTGTAGGCAAGGCAGGAACAAGGACGAGGTGTGCAGAGCTGGCCTAAAGTCCTCCCTCTCTAATTCCTTGCAGTGATGAGGGCCAACCTACTTCAGGGTTTGGAGAGGGGAAGGATGAGGAGGCAGGTTCAGAGGAATAAACAGGACTTGGAGTCAGGGATGTCTTCTTTTGCTCAGGGTCCAGGACTTCCTCCTGGCTGACAGTTGTGTTGGAGGTAACCGGCTCACTCACAGATTCATGTTCGGAGCTGGAACTGCTGCTGCTGCTGCTGCTGGCGGGATGGCTCAGAATCAGACACCAGAACTCTCCATGGTTGAAGTAGCAGAGGACTGCTGGAAAAGGACAAGGAGAAAGGGGAGAGGAAAGTCAGAGATTGGGAAGAACAAGTGGCAAGCAAAGTGAGGCCAAGGGGAAGAAAAGTCCCTAAGAACCTATCCCTGGGGATTGACAGCCCTCTCCCTCCACACTTTCCCTGTCCCGACCCACCTGTGTTCCCTGCTTCCCAGGGCCCTCTGGATCACTCACCACAGATGGCATACAGGATAAACACCAGCCAACCAATGAAGTAGCTCCAGCAGAGGGGGATTGATAAATTCTTTCTCAACTCGAAGAGCCAGACATTAACAGGGAACAGTATGAGGGTGAAGAAAACGAAGAAGGCTAGGAGACAAAGGGGTGCAAGGGGGTCTTATTTTCACTCAAGAATTCCAAAAGCATTCTTCCTTATCTGCTGAACTACAGTCACAAGCCACAACCCCCATCAGCGCACACAGAGCATGCGGTCCCAGAGGTTCATGGGAATCGACCTCTCCACCTCCACCCCACCAGTGATCAGGAGTCAATGGAACTCAGTTCTCAGCCAACAACTACTAGTTCTGTCCTCCCACCACCCACAAACCCAGACCCCACTCCCGAAGAAAGGAAGAGGAAGAAGTGCCAGGAAGATGTGGGTTAGGAGAAACTAAGGACCTTTTCCAGAGCTAGGGGGCACCTTCACAGAAGCTCATGACAGTCCCAATCCAGCCAAAAAAGGTCAATTTCTGAAGACCAGGTATGTACGGCAGGTGCAACCAGATGGTGAGGATGATGCCCAGCCCCAAGGCCAGGCAGAAGGTAATCTTGGCCACCCCGAAAGCTGGGTGATTTGTCCACAGCTTAAAACTGTCTAGGGAAAATGAGAAAACAGGATGAACTAAAGATTCACAAAAGACAAAATATAATAGAATAAGCAAATACACGAAAACAACCAAACAAATGCACATTTGAGATAACAATAATAAAATATCACTTTCATCTATTAAATAGGCAAAGATTCTTGATGTGGAGATTGTGTGATAACCCCAACCATATGAAAACAAATGCCTCAAAGGAGAAGCTGGACAGACGACTTGAACTGCAGTTCTCAAAAAAATACAAATGTCCAATAAAAACATGAAACTCAACAACAACAAAAAAAGAAACTCAACAATAAGAACTACAAATTAAATGTGATTTTTTTTGGTTTATCAAATTAGCAAAGATCAAAACAAAATTGATCATATCTAGTGTAAGAAAGGATTTAGAGAAAAGAGGTGCTTTCACACACCATTGGTGGGTAGGATCTCTGATGTGTGATCAGAGATGCTACCCAAATCTAAATTTTTAAGACCCATTGCCCCGGCAATATATCCTCTTGGAATTTATGTTAAGGAAACAATCCAAGATATGCATCAAAATTTATGTACAGAGATCTTCTTTCCAGAATTATTTATATGTCTGACAAGAGAGTTGTTAAGTTATAAGGTACCCACACATTAGATTATTATGTGTTCATTAAAAACCATGATATGATAGATCATTGTCTCCAGATAGAATCTAAGGAGGGAACCTGGAAGGTGGAAGGCTCACTTTAATCTGTTGTGTTTTTTGAATTTTCACTGTGTTCATATACTATGTAATAAAGTAAATTTTTAACATAGATATTTATAGAATAGTTATTTTATGATACAAATAATATGCTTACCACTGAAAAGTGGAGTTTACAACACCGAGCATGTAAAATGATTACAACTTTGAAAAATTAAAAAACATATTTGTTAAAAATAAAGCTACATATATATTTATTTGTATTTATTTTATATAGATACACAAAAGACTGGAAGTTAACTGCAATTATATCTGTGTGAAGAAATTTTAGGTGATTTTTATTTTCTTTCTTAAACTTTCTTCATTCTAACAATAATTGTGCAACTTTTTAAATTAAAAAAATAATATATTCATGTGTTTAAAGTTAACAGTCATAACTTTAAAAAGAATATGAAAAAAATATGTATGTGTATAACTGAATCACTTTGCTATAGAGCAGAAATTAACGCAACATTTTAAATCAATTATACTTCAATAAAATAAAATTTTAAAAAATAAACAGTCATTGCTGACAAAGTTACAATGAAACAGCCTCTTTGTACATTGTTAGTGGAAGCTTAAATTGTTTTCATACTTTTTGAAAGCAACATGGAAAATTTTATCAAAAAGCCTTATGATAATTATACTCTTTGATCCATTAAACCCACTTTAGGAAATCTATTCCAGAGATACTAAACACAGGAAAAACTTCATGATTAGCAAGCTTTGTTGGTCCTTTTTTCTTAAGTATGTAACTGGAAATAAATTTGCCAAGAATAAATAAGATAGTCAAGTCACAATTAAAAAATCTATTAAGTTGAATAATATAGTCTTAATATGGGGTGTTTATTATATCTCATACATTTTTAAATAATATAAGTAATAAAAATAATCTAAAGATATAAAATAGTTTATGAAGAATGAATATAACTATGTAAAAATTATTCAAAATGTGTTCAATTTTTTAAAAAAGAAGCCTGGAAAAAAATTGAGTGCTTAATAAACATCCAGTAGTGACTGTCTTTGAGTAACTTATAGAGCAAAAACTCATGTAGGTGCTTATGTTTTTGAGCCAGACACATCTGAGTTATAATTGTAAACCTGCCATTATTAGGTTATTATGTATGAATTTGCTCAGGTGAAAAGAGGTCAAAATTTGGCCCCATCTTGTGGTTCAGCCTAATAGCTTTATGATCTTGAGCAAGGTAACCTGAGTCTCAGTTTCCTCATCTGTAATATGAGGATAATTATCCCTAGCTCTTAGAGTTGATAGGGGATTAACTTAAGCAAATAGAATAAGGTTGCAAATAATGATAGCTTTTGTTGCCCCACATTTATTGGAATAAGGACGTATTACTTTCATGATGGGGCTTCCCTGGTGATTCAGTGGTAAAGAACCTGCCTGCTAATGCAGGAGACTGCCTGCAATGAAGGAGAGACAGGTTTGATCCCTAGGCTGGGAAGATCCAGAAATGGCAGCCCCCGCTCCCCCACCCACNGAGTGATTCACAAACCCCTAGAGTCCAAGTCCCTCACAACATTTCTGTAAGCACAGACTTGACTGCGAGCCTTCCCATAGGGGCAGGAGAAGTGGTTTGCCCAACTGAGGAGGAACAATGATCCCTGGGGGGTCTCAGGGCCGGTAGAACCATTTTACTGGTCAAAAAAAGTGGGGCTGACCAGAGGGAAGGGCCAAGAATACTGGGGTGCAGAGGTTGAGGCCAAGGCAAACAGGAGCCCCTGGGGTGGGATGAGGAAGTAAGGGTCTCACCTTTCCCATTCTGAGTTGGAACCGCTCTTGGATTTGTAGAAATGCAGGAGCCCCTGGGACATTATATGAACTGACGTGTAGATTTTGGTGGTGACGTTCATGGGCCAGTGCTGGTAGAAACGGATCTTCTCAAGGCACAGCCATTTCTTGGAGAAGACCATGACCACCAGCAGGATGAAGGCGAGCAGGCTGAGCTCTGAGGCCAACACCTGCGATATCCAGCGGGAGCTGTGTGTAATCCTGCACTGCAGGAGTAGCGGAGAAACCCTGTGGAGCTTCACGCTGTGGCCCTTAATCACCGGCCAGTTACTGTCAGGGGTGGAGACACAGTTCTGCACCCCTTCCTCTTGTCCCGGGCTCACCGCCACCCCATCCTGCTTTCCAGCCCTCCCAGCCCTTTCCAGGCTTCTGATGTTCATCACTTTCTCTTCCTGACCCAGGGAATTCATCCCTAAAGTTCCCTGTCCCCATCTTGAGTACTCCCTGACTCCACTTCTATCCTCCACCCCATCTCCCCCTTCCCTTGCCAGTGTCAGTTGTCCTTCATCATTTAAATGTTTTCATCAGGCAGAGCAGTGGCCACCACAGCACCTGGGGTCTGGAAAAGAACAACCCATTCAGCAGGAGAGGGCCCCTAACTGCCATGGAATATTCCTTTGTGGAGGGAGGGGGGGCATCAACTGGGGGAAGGGGCCCACAGCTTCAGCTCAAACTCTTTCTGGAAACCCTGCTCCTCTGAGGCCTCAACTCAGAACTGTGGGTGTGATGCCTCCTTCCTCTAAGAGCCCTGGTTGCTGAGGTTCTCCTTTGCTCTTCCCACATCCTCTGCCCTAACCCCACCCCCAAGTACTCACGGATGGAGCAGGAGAAGGGGAGGAGCTTGTCCCCAGGGAGACGACTGGATATGCCACCCACAGGTGTCCCCAACCTTCTCCCTACTTCCCCCACCTCTACTCACTTCTGGTCCTCAGCTCCCACCCCTTCCCCTCTTTTTCCCTTTTTCCCTTTTTTTTTTTTTCTCTTAGCACCAGAGGGGAAAGACACAGGACCAGGAGGGGACGTGAGAGTGTCATACAGTCTTGAGACTTTCCTAAGCTGCCTTTTGAGCTATAGGAAAATAAATCTGAGTCACCCGAGGCAGCCTGATCACTGTGGCTTCCAGACCTCAGTTAGCCCCTGGAATTCTCGTGAGCAGCAAGCCTCTCAAATTTAGGCTGTGAGTCTGAATTCCATCAGAGTTGATTCACTTTATGAAAAGAGTGATACACGTGGTTAAGAACAAAGGCTTTCGGTCCAGCAACCCAAGAGATGAATTAGGGGTCTTCCTCTTAATGGCCTTATGAACCTGGAAGAATCATATAGCTTCTCTGTGTCTTAGTTTACTCATCTGTAACATAGGACAATACTTGTCTAGATTTGGTTTGAGTATTGAATAAGATAATGGACAAAAAGCAATCTTTGTTCATAGTAAATTCCCAGAAAGTGGAGACATTATTTTTAAATATTTTATTTATTTATTTGGCTGTTACTGGCCTTAGCTGCAGCATGTGGGATCAAGTTCCCTGACCAGGGATTGAACCCTGGCCCCCTGCATTGGGAACACAGAATCTTAGCTGCTGGACCACCAGGGAAGTCCCAAGCAGCATCATTATTGTTATTGTTTTCATTGTGGTGCACTCTCACCAGCAAACATAGAAGAAAGAGCAAAAACACAGGTTTTTAGCAGGCATCCTTGCTGACGAGTGACTGCAAATGATGGAATGGAATTGAAATTAATATAAGCCAAAAGGGGAGTTAATTATAGATCATGAGGTCAAGTGCACAGCTGGAACTCAGAATAATTAGAATCATGAATTCAAATCCTGTGTGGACTCTGCCTCTCTGTCTTAATCTATTTGGTCTGCTATAACAAAATATCATAGAGTTGTTCAGTCGCTTAGTCATATCCAACTCTTTGCAACCCTGTGGACTGCAGCATGCCAGGCTTCATAGACTGCAGAATTTATAAACAACAGAAACTTATTTCTCGTAGTTTTGGAGGCTGGAAGTCCAAGATCATGGTACCATCCAACCATAATTGGCATATTCGGGCGATAGCCCAATTCCAGATCACAGACTTCTTGTTGTGTCCTCAGGTGAAGCTAGGGATCCCTGTGGGGTCTCTTTTAAAAGGACATTAAGCCTATTCATGAAAGTGGAGCCTCCCACCTCCTCAAACCTTCACCTTGCGGGTTACTTTCCCAACATATGTATTTGGGGGACACAGATATTCAGATCACAGAACTTGGACTCTGGTCTTGCTTCTCCTTGATCATTGTTTTTTAAAAAACATATTTATTTTATGAATGCATTTATTACTTTTGGTTGTGCTGGGTCTTCATTGCTGCTCCAGGGCTTTCTCTAGTTGCGGTGAGCAGGGACTTCTCGTTGCAGTGGCTCACCTTGCTGCGCAGACCACAGGCTCCAGAGATGCATCAGCAGTTGTGGCACATGGGCTTAGCTCCTCCGCAGCACGTGGAATCTTCCTGAACCAGGGATCAAACCTGTATCCCCTGTACTGGCAGGTGGATTCTTATCCACTGTGCCACCAGGGAAGTCCCTACCTGAGTATCTTTTTCTTTCTCTGTAAACCACCCTCCGCCTTTTCTCTCATCCACATAGTGAGAAATGTGGCCCTTACACCCCCACACAGTCCATCTTACACCTTTAGAAGCCAGAGCAAAGATCGCTCCATTCCAAACCCAAATATTCTCTGGTGCTGCCAGGGATGAGTGCAATCCCATTAACCATGGTCAGGGTCACCCAAGTCTGGAGGCTGACCTACAAACTAATGACAGATAGGGAGTTGGTGGGCAAATTCCCTAGCTTTCTCAGTTACAGGTAGGAATAACTGTGAAGTGTGTTCTATGCCAGGAGGGACCAGTGTTGGAGGGAAGGGGCTGGCCCTACTAGGAATGAGAAATCATATGCAGCACAATAGAATATGGAAGAATCTAGGCAATACAATGTTTCCTGAAAACTGTAACTCCCAGAAAACAATGCCACAGATATGATACCATTTTTATAGAGATTATAAATAAGCACAACTAAGCAAAACATTGTTGAAACATACATTCTATTATGATTGCATGGCATGTTTTAAAAAGCAGTGGAATGATAAACACAAAATGTAAAATAGTGGCTATTTCTCAGGGGAAGCAGGGAAATGGGACAGAGAGGGTTACACTGGTACATACACCAGTAGGCAGTAGGCTATTGGTTTCTGAGTTGGGTGATGAATGCACAGATATTCATTACATTAGAATCATTTAGAATCATTTGGCCAAGCACCAAAGAATTGATGTTTTCGAACTGTGGTGTTAGAGAAGACTCTTGAGAGTCCCTTGCACTGTAAGGAGATCAAATCAGTCAGTCTTAAAGGAATTGTAACGTAATTAGCCTCCAACTAATAAAAATAAATGGAAAAAAAATCCTAAAGGAAATCAACCTTGAATATTCACTAGAAGGATTGATGCTGAAGCTGAAGTTCCAACACTTTGGCCATCTGATGTGAAGAGTTCACTCATTGGAAAAGACTCTGATGCTGAGAAATATTGAAGGCAGGAGGAGAAGGGGATGACAGAGGATGAGATGATTGGATGACACCACCAATTCAATGGACATAAATTTGAGCACACTCCGAGAGCTAGTGAGGGACAGGGTAGCCGGCATGCTACAGTCCATGGGGTCATAGAGTCAGACACAACTGTATGACTAAACAACAACAAATAACTGTGAATGTATATTCCATATAAACCTGTGAATGTATCAAATACTGTTTTTCAAAAGGTAATTAAAAATAGTCCAACACAATCTCCTCAAGAAAGGAAATGTAATCTTAGTGATTACTAGCTCTGCAATGAAAGATATTTATACAGTCACAATATATAAGGTAAACACTTCATTGAGTTTCAATTTTATTTTTTTTTTGAGTTTCAATTTTAGAATCAACAGATGGACAAAGCACGGAAGACTCAACCACAGCTATGAAAGTAAACATAGCTGTTATCAGTCTTGATGTTGCCAGAATAAAAGCCTAGAAGAGGTAAACCAGGAGACAGAAGGAAGAGAAAGAGCCAAAGGGAAGGGAGAGGGATCTGACAAGAGAGTCTCCATGTAAGGTTGTGCAGGATGGGCACTGCACAAGAGCACATGGCAAAGAGGGTAAGAACTGAACTCTAGTCTTCATTCTGCTCAATCAGCCATACCCCACCAAGGGGTCCCCAGTGGCCTGGAGGAAGATGTGCTTTGTTCTACATCTACATAAAGGTGCTGCTCCCTGCCAAGTCAACTAACCCTACCTCTGTTCAGAAGGGCTGCCTGTTAACCACAAGGTTGTAGGCACACAGGGCCCTCTTGGGCTAGCAGCAGCACCGACCAATTATCTTGTAAGATTTTGTATCAGTGTGAGTTCTTTGGTTACAAGCACAAAGCCAGACTGACTAAGCTAGGCAAAAAGGAGTATATTGGGTGATACCAAGTAAGCACAGACTCAAAAGGAAAGCAGAACATCCAAGCCTAGAACTCAACAGAGACCAGGGGAGCATGGACAAATCATTAGCAACAGCTGGTCTCCCGGGACTTGCCTGGTGGTCCAGTGGTTAAGACTCCACACTCCCAAAGCAGGAGGCACAGATTTGATCCTTGATTGGGGAACCAAGATCCCATATCTGTGCATGACCTAAGACATAGAATAAATAAAAAAAAAAATAAAAATTAAAATTTCTATAAAAGTAAAAAAGAACTGGTCTCTCTACCCACCATTGTCTCCCAGATCCCCCTGGACCTCCATCCTTTTCTATTTCTAGGTAGGATTCCAAAACCCAAGCATCTGACTAGCTCGGATGCCTTGATTGACAGCCCAAGAACTACATGGGCGTAGGAAGGGATCACTTCCCCCAAAAGAAAGGAAGCTGAGCAGTCGACTAGTAATGATCACGTGCTCACACAAGTACAGAGTGGCAGCTGGAATGGAGTGAGAGACTGGGAGATTTCTGAAAAGGAAGGAGCCCCACTGTTGCATCAGTAAGGGCAGGTGCTTACCCAGGCTTCTAGGACGGTAGCCCCTGGAGAACATGGACTTAGGCTTAGAACATGGACTCGAGAACACAAGCTTATTGGTCACTCCTTGACTGTCCACGTGGATGTGCTTTGCTGCCTATATGACACTTAGAAATAGTCCTGCCCCAAGCCAGCTCACCCCAGTACAAACTCCAGCATGAATCTCCTCTGTGATGAGCTCCCAGATCCCTGGCCTTGCTAGGATATCTCTGTGGCCAGAATCCATGTGCTGCAAGGTCCCTCCCTTTTGCCTCTATGAAATATACATTCTTCCTTCATGTGGGCCTGTCCAAGGTGGCATTTCTCAAACCCTGATGTGTGTACTCCTGGTCTGTGCATCTCATTAAAATGCAGATGCCACAGTTTGGACAAACAGGTGGTGCCCCAGGTGGTGCCTGTGCTGCCATTCTAAGGATAGCACACTGAATAAAGAGCTAGACTCCTGAAGATCTAGGTTGCTAGATCCACTCTCCTCCCAGGATGTCCTTTGACCTTTAGGCTTTGGGCACATGGGAAAATGATGGGCAGACAGGCTTGCTTGT